AAAAAAAAAACTAATGATGATTACAAAAAATTCTGATGTCAGATGAGAAGATTCGGAAAGGGAACTTAATTTCGCACATTTTGGTAAAGCTCAAGTTGTTACCTCCCCTCTTTCTTGAAAGGAAATTGGAACGATCCCACATGCTTACAAAAAGACTAAAAAAAGTTCTTTTGGAAAAAAATTCTGAGAGCATAGTCACCTTCCCTTGCCTTTATCTCGAATTACACTTTATCATATGAATTTTTCTAACATTTAGCTGTTCGCTATACCTGTAAAGATTTAATTACCGATTCTATTAGAATAAGGTGTGAACTTAATCACTTTGCTTGGTTATTATTTCTTAAATATAATATTTAAAATCAATATTCTCTCCTTTTCGTGCAGCTCTGACACAAAACATGTCGAGTCTCCTAACACTCCTGTCTTTGTTCAGGCAATATTCTTCCTTCCATCCTACCATTCCTGCTAAGATCTTCCTCCAGGCAACTTTAGCATTGTATTCCTAATCTCCCTCTTTTTCTTTCTTTAGTCAGGTGCCCATATGCTTGCTACATTTGCAGGGATCATATCTAATTTGGTTGAAGCCATATTCGTCTTCGTTTTACGATTCTTCATTAATGGATGGTTTGTTACAAAATATTTCGTGTTGGGAGGCACGATACTTAGTGCATCTTTTTAAAATTTATTTCGGTCAAACTTAGATATTCTTGTTCATCAAAGTATATTAATAGTATGAGTAGTTGCATTTTAATGAAAAATTATTCATTTGTAATATTTTGTAAAGCTAAAGTGGTAGTCACATTAGAAATTATTAATTTAGTTTTAAGTTCTGATTCTCAAACCATTTTTTTTTTCAAAAAGTTTTTTTTTTTATATGACGAAGTTTTGCACGAAAGCAATGTCAACGGGTAATAATGAGGCACTGTCAATGAAACTTTTTTTTTTTAATTTTCTAAGACAAGCTGTGTAACGTTTTATAAAATTTATTTAATTTTATTACGAACATTCTGTAATAACTACGAGTGCGCCATTCTTTTTTATATTTTTGATAACTTATTAAAGGTGACGTAACTCAATAGGCACTTACTTTTAAAGCTTTGATATTGTTACCTCGTGTTTTCGTTTATTGCGTCTCAAAATCAATATATCTTTCTCTTGTAGATGAGGGGCTAGAAGATAAAATAAGCATCATCTTTCTTTACCGCAGAGAGTGTTAAAATTGTAGAATGACGACAGGAGATATTTCAGAAGTTAAAGGGGAAAAAGAAAGAGTCGAAGGAGATCTTTCTTTCTGCTTCTCTTTCTTTTCAGTCACAAACACTGTAGGGTTGCCACAAGGTTTTCGTTATCTCCTTTTTCGGTGACGTAAACAATGGTTTTTCAGCAAGAATTTCTATGTTGCCTCAGATCTCTTTTGGCATTGGTTGAAAAAGTTTAGAAAAGAAATGTTCCCATACTATCATGAAATATAAAGAAGTTTTTAGCCTGGTCGGTAGGGCGCTGGACCCATGTCCGAGAGTTCGTGGGTTCGAACCCCGCCGGCCGAAGACTCCCCGTGTAGTAAAGTGGCTGATGCACGTTAAATCTGTCGAGTCGCGAAAGTCCTCCAAGTTCCCATAACAAATCAATACCTCTGGGGGTACTGGATTGGAGATTGATCTTTCTCTAACTCAGGTCGAAATTACGATCTGTGGGTGTATTAATGGGTTCGCCCTATAAACGGGTGCGACGTATGGTGTGACAGAAGTCGAATTCTTGGCCATAGATGGCGCCACTGAAAAACAAGAAACGCACACTCTGCTTTAAATTTGCTCGGTTTCACCAAACAGGCTTGCCCGTAAGGCAAGCCTCATTAGAAACAACAACAACCAGTGAAAAATTACTGAAGACATTTGAATCCCTAAAAAAATTTGAAAGAATATTCTACTTAGATTTGAGAAACAGAATAATATTTGAAAATGAAAATGGGTTGCCAAGCCGTTTAATTTGAATAGTGTATTTATAGGGGACGCATGCTTCGATCGCAAAAGATGATTTCCTGAACTTTGCCATTACTTAGTTCGTGCTGCTAATTTACAATCAAATGGCTTTTGGCAACTCACTCTTCTTTTTTGGAGATTTTTATCTTCATTGAAAGTTACCGTAAATACAAGTTTTTATTTGTTTTAAATTATTTTTTACCTGAATTAAAAAAAATCAAGAATTAAGCTAAAAATACGAATTTTTCACTAATTGATTTCTCCGGAACTAATCGACCGATTTCGCTCAAATTTTGAATTAAATCATTCAAAACTGCATTGCTTAAAATGATGTAAAAAATTGCATATCTTACAATTATAATTTTTTTCGACTATTATTAAATAGAATAATTTAAAATAATAAATATTTACCTAAAGTTATAATTTGCATGGAATTATCTTTAGAAGAACAAATTTTATAATTTTATGTAAAAATTTTTCAATTTGTCTAAAAAGTTTTCGAGTTACGGTGAAATACGCAAAAGGTAAAATTAACATTAAGGGGTCCAAATTTTGGATTCCTCTACTGACCGAGCTATTTGGACCATATTTCGCAGATTGCGGCTGTCTCCTATATTTTGGGGATCCGAAATCCGAATCTTTCGAAAAAAAATTATGTTTGTTCAGAGAAAGTGTGTTTTTATGTCTGATTTTGCAACTTAAAATATCGTCTGCACTCATTAATTAGCATAATTGAAGTTTCCCCCTCGAATCATTAAGATTGAGTTCTAGAACATGACGATCTGAGCATTAATGGAAATTTATTCATATTGAAAATTTATTTTATTTTGCTCATTATACAGAAATTCAAAATTTAATTTAGCTACATTTTGAAAAAAATGCTAAAATTTATCAAATGGAGTAAAAGTTGTTGGTGTGAATGATGGAAATTATGTACTGATTCGTACTAAGATATTCGTACTAAGTACGAAACAAAGCATCTATAGCATTCTAAAAAATTTCTAGAGTTATTATTTATGTTAAAAAAAACACTATTTCTCAAATAATTTTATGAAATGAAAACGACTCATATTAAATGTGATTTGCATTTTAAAATATTTACATGAAAGTTTACGTTATAATATGAAAAAAGTAAAAGAAAATCCAGAAGCCATTACAATTTAAAAGCCAAACTAGTTTCTTAAAAAAAAAAGTCTTTTTCTTTCGTAATTTGGGATGGGGCTCCTCACAAGTTGGAAGCCCCGGGCTCGTGCCCCGAATGCTCACTCACAAATCAGTCTCAGATGAGAACAAATTTCTCCTCCGTAACCATATAAACGTTATGCAACGCAACAGACTTCTCTGGGATTAAATTTTTACTTTTTCTTAAAACTTTAACTTGCATGTTTCTTTGTAATTCTTGTTAGTGGTTGAGATGTCAAGTTTTTTCTTAAATTCAACTCGATTTGTTTAACTTAAATAGACGTTCCTTGTATTTAAACAATGTTTTTCATCTATGATTTTCTGTACAAGTATGTATACTTACTTTCTCAAACATAGTTCTTATAATTCCTATAGTATTTTTCAATAAGTACTTATACTTTCAACTGTAATTTTTCTTGTTATCCTTTAAAAACTACTAAAAAAAATATTTCTTTTTCTGCTTTAACTTTAAGAACTTGAAGTTTTACTCGCTGCATATAGTCATATTCTCATAGAAGCAACATTTTCATGCATATAATCCTTTATTGAAACATTCAAATACAGTCTCATTTTGAATATAGTCTTATGTTGATAGTAGTTAGATTCAGATATAGTCCTATTCTGAAAAAAAAATTAATTTGGAAATTTTATTATTAGCCCCTCTGAATATCTGCTCCTTCTTTTTTCAAACTTTTAGTTGCAAACTTTCCTGCATAAAAAAACGGATTTCCCCATGTAATTCAATGAATAATTTTAGGCTCGTGGTGGCACAGGGGATAGAGCGTTCGTCTTCCAATGAGGTGAACCGGGTTCGAATCCCAGAGATGGCTGGTTGATACGAGTTCCGCACCCAGCTTTCACCGACTACAGCGTTGACGTGAAATATCCTCAGTGGTTGATGAATCACGGAATGGAGCCCCCTTGCTATCAGGCTAACCGTGGGAGGTTGTTGTGGTCTTAACCGCCCCATGTAACGCAAATGCGGGTTAGTTCCATCAAAAAGTCCACCACGAAGGCAAATTTTTTCCAATACTTGATACAGGAGTTCTTTTGTCTTCTGAATTGGGATCAAATTTACATGGCTACAGAGTTGAGCATTAGCAGTCGTAAACCCAAAAATCGGGTCGACTGTTCAACGGCAGTTATAAAATATAAAATAAAATGGATAATTTTATAAATTTCAGGGGTATTTCAGCACAATTTCATACCTTCAGTAGAACTATAGGTTCCAAAGTTTTAGAAAATTTTACAAAATTCAGTACAAAGTTTTAAAACAATTTTTCCATTGAATTATCAATAGCTGTAAGTATAAAGATAAGAATACAGACCTCTTCTTAATCATTTCTCTTTTAATGTTAATTAAATAAAAAAAATAATGGATCTTTTAAATTCTATTTTTGTTTGAGAGATCTTCTGTTTATGATTAGCATTAAAATATTGATTTTCTCTTATATACTTCATAAAAACAAACATTGTGAAATCATTCAAACTGAAATTGTGATTCAATTATTTCTAAAAATATAGAATTAAATAGTGAGAATGGACAAAAGAGTAAAAAGGGAATTAAAATAAGTCAATCAACCATTATTTTATCATGTATCTAAACAAAATAGAATAATTTTCATTATCTATAAAAAGAAAGAAAATTTCTTTTGAGGGGTTCAAAATATAAATCACTGTCTAATTAATGAAACGCACGATTTAATTTGGTGCTTGTCTTACAAAAGTCTTTTCAAAGTAAGAACAGACTTTCTTGTTTCGAAGGGTTTGGCGAATGAATTGGCGAAGTGCTGCTGTCACATACATCTTGTAGTAAACCCAAGCACGTGTTGCCGAATTCGAATGTGACTCAAAATAGTCAAATATAGTCGAACAGCCAGCCAGACAGCGAAGGCAATATAGTTTCGAGGGTGGCTGTATTTTGAGCGAACGAATAATTTATATTTATACAACGCGATTTTAGATTTATATATTTTTTGCGCTACATTTTACATTAAATAAATAAATAAAAACAATGGCTTTTCAACGTCCGTTTCTGATATCATTGAAAAGGAGCGATTCTTCCCAAAAATGGGGTTTTGGAATCAAAGGTGGCAAAGATTATGGAGAACCTTTAACTATTCAAACGGTAAATATTTTTTTATTTTATTTATTTATTTATTTATTTTATGCTTCATTTCTTTTTGATTGGGTTCCCGTGTATCTTGCACATTTTTAAAAGTGGTAAACAAAAATATAAAACTAAAGTTGATATTTTAATGCATTTGTGACTACCACTGTAAGTTATTTTGTAAAGGAATTATATCTGTATGAGAGTTCTAAGTTGTCAGATCTTTGATCATTGATATAAAAACTAATTAAAAATTGCTGAGGTTAATTAAAAAAGACAATTTTTACTAGTGTTAACGTAACTTATTACCACTTTTTTAAATTTGTTGGGTCTGCAGTTAAAAACTATTTTATTGTATTAACGGTTATTCTTAGTTAATTCAATTGAATGGGGTTTTGGAATTAAATGTGACAAAGAATATGGAGAACCTTCAACTACTCAAATGGTAAATGTTTTTATTTAACTTTTTTTTATGCTTAAAAACTTCCTTCTGGTTTATGTAAGGTTCTCGTGCTCTTTGTAAATCTTTAAAAGTGGTGGACGAAAATGAAATTAATGCCGATGTTTTAAGGCATTTGTTTTTACCACTGCATGTTATTTTTTAAATGAATTATATCTGTATGAGAGTTCTAAGTTTTGAGATCTCTAATCACTAATATGAAAATTAATTAAAAATTAATTAAAGTAATTAATAAATTATTTAATTAAAAAGAAAATTTTCACTAGTGTGAACGTAACTTATTACCACTTTCATAAATTTGTTACGTTTACGGTTAAAAACTATTTTACTGAATTAACGGTTACTCTTCTTAAATTCTAATCTTTCATTCTTTTAGACTTTAGCATTTAAAGGCAATACTTACTTTATTTTTTTTTTCTATAAAAAAAAGAATTTATAAATTTGTATTCTAGAGGGAAAAGAAATTGTAAGTTCTAAACTTGCCTCGAAAAAGACTGGTTACATTAATATTTCAAGACTAACTTTTATCTTGAAACTTAGGACAGTTGTATCTTATATGACATATTATAATGTTTTATTCCAAATTTTACTTAATCTCTTACACTGCAGAGAGAAAATTCTAATTAACTGCATTTAAAAATGTGAATATTTTTTTTTCTTTTAGCTACTGCTTTACTTTTAAAAACTAAAGATACATATGCTTTCCCATTTAAATAAATTTATTTATAACATAAAATATTTAAACAAACATATTTATGCCAGTACTTTTTTTTCCACCTTATTAAAATATATCCTATTAATGCGATAATAATGTAACCACTATTTGCCTTTTTTGGAAGATATAGATATATAATATATAACACAAAATATATATTAAAGGAAATACTAAGGATATATCCAAATGTTGCATTAAAAATTTGTTGGTATTAAGGTTTCCTTTTTAGAAAAAGCATTTTATTTATAAATATGAGAAATTGTATTTAAAATTTTATAGTTCTTGAATCCTTTTTGTTAAAACAGAATAGGTAGCTTTTCAATGGAAATCTAAATCATGTATATTATTTGTCTTTGAATTAGTTAAATATCGAATTGGTCGAAACAATTTTGAATCAAACGCTCACAGCTTTAATTTTTGCTACCATTTCAAATGTTGTACCTAAGGCCATTCAAAACAGTTTTTGAACCAAATGTAAAATGTTCATAACTCATTACACATAATAAAATCACTTTCCATAAATGCACTAACGTGATCCGATGTTTTCTAGTGGCAGCAAAACTTATATTTTAATGATTTAATGTATGATTCTTGGTTTAAGTTAGATTTTGAGTCATTTTGTCCGCCTTTATGTATAAATAATCCTTAAACTCATATCAAACGTTATTTTGTATCTGTTGTTTATCGGCGAACCTTTTAACCCATTAATTGCTAGTTACAAAAAGTGATCTACCTATGAAAAAAAAGAAAAAAAAAACATGTGAGAAAAGTAGAAGGTGAAACCTCTCGGGAATGACCATTCTGTTCATCAATTAACCCCTTAACGATCGGTTAATTTCCAAGAAAACGGTCATAAAAGTGCTTATTTTTTTATCCCTGTATCCCTGATTAGTGCTGACATCTAGTTTAAAATAAATTAACTATCTACAATCACCTTAAAAATATCCCGGTACTGCCATCTGGTGTGTAAAATGAGAAATAAAATGTTTTCCGGGAAAAAGAAATGAATTAGTTTTATTCTTATTGGAGCGTTACTACTGAACACTCCAGCCCGGAAATATCACGGGAGTGAGAAATAGAGGGCGAAGCCTCACCCCGTCATTTTCACGGGGGCGAGAAGGAAAGGGTTAAATGGTGAATTACATGGTCTTTCATGGAGGTTGGTCCTTCTTTGGGGTAACCTCCATTGACTTCAAAATGTTATCGAAATGTATATTAATAAACATAAATAAATTAAAACTTATATAACGAAATATTTATTGTTTAATCTTTGTTTCTTGGTTTAAGAGAACGCTATATTACCGGAGAAATGTCTCACACTGTTAGAATTTTCATTCTGAAATTACGGTAAAATAACCGGCAGCAGTTTGTCCATCCAAACAACTGTAAAATTTACAGTTAAGAACATTTTTGACCTTTACGGTTTTGAAACCGTTCACAACTGGTATGGTTAAGAAAACCATAATTACAAAACCATACGGTTTTTAAACCATTTACAACTATCATGGTTTCAAAACCGGATATTTTAAATTTAACTGGATGTAGGAGCTAGGTTGTGGTTGAGTTGCGTTTCATCAAATGAACACTGGAATGTGGTTTAATTAGTTCATCTAGTTGTTTCATCTATCGTAAGTGACTTTGAAATACTAGACCTTGTGCTAAGGAGCTTTATGGTGCTGCCATCTATGTGTGAATGAGAGTATCATGTTCCAATAGTCTAGAGAGGAGTTACAAATGGAAAAGTGTAGGACACTGGAAACTCTTCAAGTGTTGAGAGAATGAAGGAAACATTGTGGTGTCAACGTTTGGACTCAAACCCCTAGGTTCTGTCGGTCATGGGATTGACAGCAGATTAGCCCTATAATTGCGTACCCAGCTGCGAGGAACTAAGTGGCTTCATTAGATGGGTCTGGTTAGTGCGATAAAATTCTGGTTGTTTAACCGTATTAGGTGAAACCAGTTAATATACTGTTTTTCTCACAGTAAACAGTTTGGATACCATCTTATTTTTGGTTATTTGACTGTTTTCTTTGAATATTGTTAAATAACAATTAAATGAATTGTTATTTAACATTTTTTCCTAGAAATTTCTAACAGTACATGGCAAATTCTGTTTCACCTTCACTGCTAATTTTATATTTAAAATATAAAAAAAAGTGAATTCAGATAAACCAAGAGTGAACCACGAACTTTCAAAAGCTGATTTTTTCCCCCAAGATACTAAAATGCAAGACAGGCTTACTTTTTCATTGCACAATATTGAGTAATCCTGTTGTATAATTTTTTTAAATATTTTTAAATTGTTTTTTATTCTTTGAAGCTTTAAGTTCACTCTTGCTTTCCCAGAACTCCCTTTTTTGTGCATTTTAAATTTTGTTGTTAAAACCAAATTTGTCATGAAGGTTTCCTCTTATTGAATTTGGTTTAAAATGATATCAAAAACTTAAACCGCATAACTAATTGAAATACCATATCAATAATTTAAATAATTCCTTTTAAATAATTTAAAGGGACAATGGAAATTCAAAATGAGAAAAATCCTTCCAAAATCCACCATTTGGTTTTTGAGATATTAAAGAAATTTACATTTTACGTGTTCAAATCAGAGTTTTCCTCATTGAGTTAAAAAAAGTCGGAATTGATGAAGATCTGTATATATTCTATATACACTTTTTTTGAAAACGAAGTTGCTTTTCCTCTTTATGGAATTTGTTCAGTGTTCTCACAACTTTTAAAAGCTCCTTACGTATCAGTTTTTGTTTTATTGTTATGAAAATTGTTTCAAATACTCCTTGATGCGCCTTGTTTATTTTGAAGTGCATTTGATTGAGTAAATATCCTTATTTAATTTTTTAATGGATGAACAAATGTAATTAAAGTGTGTCTTTCAAAGAAATGTTAGATGAAAAAGATAGAAATTTTACCACTAGGTGTGTGATAATTTTATACGGTTATTACATTTACATTTATTTAAATACCTAGAAACAGCGTACTTAGGAAAAAATTTAATTTAAAAATTTGAAATTCGTTCGCAGGCAACTTTTTAATTATCAACAATTAAAAGCCATACTTTCAGCTACAATTATTTTTTTCTAAAACTTTGATCACAAACTTCTATTAATGCTATCAAAGTTCTGGTAACATTTGAAAAAAAATTAATAAAAATTGCCCTTTTTTGTTCTGAACGTACATTATCCCTCAAATTACATACGTAAAAGGTTATGTTATCGTGAAATAATATAAATACTGGTGATATTTAAAAAATTAATTCACTTACAGTTGTCACTTCATGCTTTAAATGAACGGAATTTTGAATTCAAGATCCTACTCTTACATAAACGAAAGAGAGTTTAAAAAACAGTCTTAACAGCAACTAAGCCTATTTTGTACAATTTGGATTATTTTTCCGTGCCTTCAAATCAGCTATATTGCTGAATAGCTGCTATTAAAATATATTGTGTATAAATATACTTAATATTTTTCTAAGAAAAAACTGTGTCAGCCTTCATGGTAGGTTGCTCCATTTAGCCATGCAATATATTATATACATTGTGGGAAATATCTCGGAAAAAAGGTTAAATAAAAATTTATTGAATTGTTATATAACCCTCTTTAAAGAAAACAGTCAAATAACAATAAATAATATGGTATTCGAACTTAACTGAGAGAACAACCGTTTATTAACTGCTTTCACCTAATACAGTTAAACAACCAGAATTTTATCTCACCAACCAATGAAGCCATCTAGTTCTTTACAGCTGGGTACATAATTATAGCCTAAAGGGCTAATCTGTCACTCTCATGACCGGCAGAACGGGGGATTGAGTTCCAGCGTTGATAATG